GTTTTGAGTTTGTTTTTAATTATAATTTCCACATGTTACAATTGTTTAAACAGTTTTTTAAATGAAATAGATTGAACAAACAAATGATATATTCTTTATTGTAACCAACTCTTGAATAAAAAAATAAATCTGTTTTTATTTGAAAACATTTAAAAAAAGACATATTGAGACAAATCTACTTGTGAGCCCTTAAATATAAAATTGAAAAACTTAAAGTGACATTATTAGAAAAACCCACAAAATAGCTGCACGGCATTGTGAATTCCCAAAAGTGCTATCTTATAAAAATAGACTCTTCTACTTTAACTCCTGTTTGTTGAAAAAATATTTAACTTTTCACTTGTATATGTTTTGTAATATATTAGGAGACCAACACATTCAAATTTGTAAAAGATAATTGAATGTGCTTGAAATGTGTTTTTTCTTTAGAAAAAGTCAATTTACTCGTTTGTGGACATAAAAACTATTGTAAATTTTAATCAAATTACTTTTAAACTTAGTAACAACAGAATTTTATGTTTAGAAGTTTGGTGTGTATTGGATTGCTTATGCAAAATACAGTCTTAATTTTCAAAAGAAACGCGCAAAACAGAAAATGTGCATTTATTAATAAAAACAATTGTATATAAGCGTTCTTTTGAACTACAAAATCACTTAACGATGTACTTCATTATTATATTATTATCTTGCCTTATACTAGATACGTGTGAAGCCAAGTATTCGTCGAAAAAGCCCAACAGAAAAGCACAGAACGTTGTTAACAATAAGTTGAGCCACTCCAATGAAACCAAACCACTTTTGATGTATGACTTTGCAGTCACGAACTACGATTTCAATGAAGTGAATTACACAAACAGATGGGAATGCTATGGCAATGTAGACAACGCCAACATTAGAATTTTGGGATTGAACAGAAACACAAGATGTTATGTAACAACGACTTTTATGTTCAACACAATTGGTGATAAGAAATACAGTCGGTGTGGGACACAAATCTTGATCACTGGACCTTCTCAAAAGACCGTTATATGTATGATCACTGGTGTCATGGATATTAAGATATCTGCTGAAACTTATGGGATGAAATATCGTCTAATCGGTGTTGTACCGAGCTCGA